GCAACGGAATAAACCGCGGCGCGAGCTTGAATTGTGAGCGTCTGCTATTTCACGAAGAAAGAAATTGACAGACCATGCTTTATTTGGAGGTTTCAAGTCGCTCTATTGCCGTACAAACGCTGAAATATACCAGTGTGTAAAGAAATGCTCAGAACAAACGCATCAGCGGCCCGATATGTTTATCACCATCCGTGTGTGGTGGGAAAATTGAACATTTGTCGACAAAACTCCCCCAGCAGAAACCTCTGACTGCCCAGTAAGCATCAGAGAAAGCTAAACATAGTCACTTTACCCGAGGCTTGGGCAACATCATCATGTTTAACACTTACCTACGTCAGCTAACTTGCCCCGTTGTATTTTGTTCGAGAAAGCTCTCGTTCTCGACGCCCTCACCAAGGCTAATATGTGATCCACCTGTAATGACGACCGAAATCTAAAGTCACACGAAAAGTTTTGCTCAATATTCTAACAGTTTAGTTTTAAGCCGTACCCTTTCAGTGGTTTACGTGAAATAACATGCTCAAACGGATCACGCCTCTGCTCGGACAGCATCATCAGTTTTCTTCAGTTTAAACGGTTACACGAATTGAAAGATTGCAACCAGCTGCTTTGTAGACAGCTGGTTGCGGAAATTTACGCCGTCTGTAAATATCTCTACGACAGCCGAGTTCCTTGAAGTCATCGCAACCATAAACTACAGGTTGCAGCGACCAACAATTTTAGATAAATGTTGGTAGCGACTGCACTCTCGCATTCCCACCCATCATTCCGAACAAAAAGGCGCTAGTTTCGGTTTGAGGTCGGTACCTTTTCGACAACATAGATGGCGGCAGCATCAGTCTTCTGCACTCGGTGCGCTTGGCGAGTTCGTTTGAGCCCAGTTCTCCGTGCAACACCCTGCAAGTGCGATGCATTCTGGGAGAGAACTCGAACGGTGCCAGCGCGTGTGAAACGAACTCGCTAACAGTCACCGCTTACGGCCCCGACCGACCGTCATGTGCTTTATTTCCAATCATTACGATGCCTGTTTCCGCAAGAAATGTCATCCCAAAACATTTTGTATATGCACGCCTGCACTAAAATAAAAGACTATCATTTTGCATTGAAAGAGAACCTGAGGCTGGGTGGGACAAATAAAATGGAGTAAAGCTATAGACCTTTTCATTTTAGTAGTTGCCTCATCGGCGGATAGAGGGCGCTGACGCACTCGACGCCATTAGGTTGCTTCAGTTTGGTTGGTTTCGGTTTCAACGTGAACTCGGTTTTTGGAGGCTAAATCTAGTACTGTTCAGCTCATCTTCAAGTCCACTTGTGTTTCAAAGGAATGTTCCTTGTAACTGAAATAAATATTGAAGCACATTTACTTCCAGCTTGTAGATCAAATGGACATCACGTGCCTGGTAAGGCTCGGTCAGTCCAGCAAAACAATCACAGTCGGGGGCTCCTACCGGCTTGAAGATGTCCTAATCGCATTGAGGACCTCTCCACACTTCAGCCACCTTGAGCCAGAGAGCTTGCTGATCCAAGTAAGCTTTTACTGTACAATAGACTTTTTTTTTTTAATTATTCAAGTACCAAGGCGCCTGCTGGGACTATAAGTATTGTGTGTACGTGATGACACAATTTAAAGCTTCCGTTGCCATGATAACTGCTTCGGTGAGTGAGCCCATGAAATTGGATGGCTGCCAAAGTTAGATATGGAGCCAGCGGAAAGCCCTCATCGTGCCATAGCATGCATGCGAGACCTCTGTTCCGTGCATGCTCTTTGGTGCTTGGGTACTTTTGCAACTCAAAACAGCAGCAGCAAGCCCCTCCCGCAAAGCTCCCTTCTTTCCACATTAGCAGAGTGAAGGCTCGAGAGAAGGAAACCAGCAATCCTGGTGTAGGGAGGTGGTGTCCTTCTCTCCACTCTTCTGCTATTCTTGAGGTGCAACAAACTAGTGCAAGCTTTGTGCCTTTCATTGAGTATCCACATCGAGGAATGAGGTATTGATGGACGGTTAAAATGCATTAGCATTAGAAGCCCCATTTCAATAAAAAGGGGCATTGTTGTCGGCATTGGCATAGGTGTGCGCACCCTGTAGCCCTCGCCCACCACCTGTTGTCTTTTGTCCCTTGTTAATTGAGGTCACCAACTCAGTTATTGAAGTGGCAGTCAGATTGTTTAAGCCTAGTAGACGGTCTAGCGATGCTGGCAGGTGCAAGTCCCCATGTGGCTGGCCGCCCTATCCCTTGTTCTGACGCGGACAGATGCGCAACCTCGTGAAAAGTGCTGCATGTGGTTGGGCCGGAAATGCTCAGGTGTGCCTTTAAATCTTGTGGAAGGCTGCTACCATGACTGTAATATCAGAGACTGGGGTAGAAAACAGAAAAAACATGCAGTGAAAACAGGAAACTTTTCAACACTGTCTATTGCTATATTGGGCTCACATTTGGAAATTGTGTTCTGTGCAAGAGAACTATTTTTCAACTAGAGCGAAAATTGTTGGCTTGTGAACATGTGAATGAGTAGCTAGCCTCTTTGCAGCCGCAGAAACTTGTCAGCTCCAGTGTGCTGTGGTTAAACCTGCTATGAAATATGATCTCGTTACTAACATTCTTGCTCTACCTAGGTGTTCGATGACCGCTTTCAAGAATATGTCGACCTGGACGGAATCACTGTTCTACAACAGTATTCGAAAATCAAACTGGAAATCCAGCTGGAAGCTGGGGCTACCGAAGTAGCTACTGGGTAATTCCAAACAAATACTTTGTTTTATTTTTTTCTAGAACTAGTTAAATTTCAGTTGCTGTCAGGGGTTTCCCCAGAAATTGAAATTAGGGCGCACGGTGTCTAAATTTTTAGGGGGGAGGGGGGCATTGAGAATGGAGGAGTCGTTGCGAGTTAAGGGGGTGCCTTCACAAAAACCAAGGGGGGGGGGGGGAAATCACTGCTGGCTGCTGCCCATTCCAATGGATGACATGATGCACTGGGTTAACAAGACGTAATCATTAGTTGACCGTAATTTTTGCGAGCCGCAACTTAACTCATCAGCTGATCATTTTGCGCTGCATTTATATCTAACAAAGACAGTCTCCTGCTCTAAAGTAACTATATTTATTGAGTTATCACTTACATGCAAGAGGAAACATAGTTGTAATCCCCAAACAGCCTTTGCTGATTATTTTTTTTTTCTCACAATAATCTTTTTGAAATCTTATTCATAGTATGGAGCCTGGAACGCATTTCCGTCTGGTGCGTTTACCATGGCCAAAAAGTGGTCCCTTGATTTCCGCTTGATGATGTCACAAAAGTGTGATGTTGTTGCTGGCCACGTTCCTGGTGGTGTTACGGCCAGTTCAAAACGAAGGATTTTTCTTTTTCCTTGTACGGAACTAGGATGATTCCTGCAAGATGCCAGGATGTTGCTGTGGGGTTTCGGACAGGAGGAATGCTGGGCAAATGCCACTGTGACGTCACAGTATCTCACAGGAATTGTCCTAGTTCCAGCGGTAGAAAAAGGAGAAATCATTTTTGGTTTGAACCGGGCCTTACAAAAGCGGGGGCATATATGGCAGGTGCCTGTTCTGCTGTGGCTTGCTCTGCATCTAGTCATTCGAAAGAAACTTTCTCAGGCACTGGTTGAGACGCTAAGACAGCAGCCCTTGCATCCACTCGCCGTCTTTGCCAGCGTTTCGACATCCTACAAACAAGATCGCAACAGGCGACAATATGAAATGGCAGCTCCCATGACATAATTTGCTGCAGCTTCGGAGCCACTTCCAATGCATGGGAGGCATTGATGGTGAACACACGAGTCGGATGCAGCTCCAAACCTATTTTGATTAAATTTTTATTTTATATGTACTTTTTTTTGGAGAATGTCACAGAGTTCTGCATGTTCCCTTTTGAATAGTAAACAAATCTTCATTTTAAAGAAAAGAACTATTGTGGACACTGTAAGCTATAACACGACAGCTGTGGTTGTTTCGTACCCCCAGCGCCACACAGCAGACGCTGTCCGGAACACAGCACCGATTCTGTGCTGCAGCATTGCTCTTCCAGGTTGCACTCAAACTCTGTCGTCTGCTAGGCGCAAAGCGGACACTGCCACAGCAGTTTACCGACTCTTAGAAGGAGTTGTAAATAAATAAGTGTATATTTAAGCCCAGACTGATAATGAATCCAGTGTTTACTGCTTGCTTCATTATTATACATTTACATACCTGCCAACTATCCCGAATTGTTCGGGAGCCTCCCGATTTTGGAATATATGTCTCGATTGTACGGATGCAACCTCAAATCTCCCAAAAAGTGGCTGCCGTAGTTTTTTTTTTTTTTTTTGACGCTCTATTGCCATAATCATCACGCATGTGTCAGTGCGAGTTACTCGAGAGTAGGTTTAGTTTACTCTGGCAGGTTACCACATGACAACTCAGAGCAGCAGCGTAAAACGAGGGTAGATTTTCAAACGCCAAGGTACGAGATCTGTACTCCTGAGTAAGTTCAAGTGAATTTTGGAACACATATTATATGATCATGGGTGCGCTAGGCTTCAGTTGGCTTTGTCAGATCGTCAAGTGAGGTGCGGAACACCAAACTATTCTTTGTGTTTCCCCGAGTTTAGTTGGATCGATAGATGGCACTTTCAAAAACCAAGTAGAAGTTCTTGCAAGTATTTTTGAGATCATACGCGACTGAGTACCCGTGCTTTGTCGCTTCACTGAAAGCTGACAAGTATGGCTTCTGTAACATGTGTGCCTGTGATGTGAGCGTTTTGCACGGCAGCAAGCCTGACATCAAGATGCACATCGCTTCACGAAAGCTTCACAATCATGTTCGTGCCATAGAAAGCCAGGCACCATCGGCAGTTTACTTCAAAGCAACTGCGAAGACAGTGTGATCCGCGCAGAGTGCCTCTTTACAAGGTTTCTTGTCGAACTAGAAAAAAAGATGTTTTGACCCCCCATCCCACGCGGCGGTCTCCTAAATATTCATGTTGCTGGGTTGCCAGGTATGCATTTACAAACCAGTTGTGAAATTGTTTGAAACGAGGAAAGGCCATCAACAGCCATCTGTCCGATTGAGAAAAGTTTTCCACCTAGATATATATGCAATCATCGACATTGATTATGTTTAGCAGAATCCCCATACTGAAAGAGGCACGCACAAAAGCCTGTGAAGCAAACATCTGCAAGCGCTGTGGTGGCGTCTCGTTTGCACCTAGCAGATGACGAAGACAGAGTATGATGTTCCACCACATGCGGTTGCGCAGTGCTTCGGAGGGCACTTGCTATGTAGCGCTGGCGGTATGGAACTCCCACGACTGCTGTGTTATAGCTAACAGAGTCCAAGATAGTACATCGCCGAGGAAGTTTTCTATGCACTTTAGAATTCCACTACTCTTCAGTGAGCACAACCATTAAATGAGCCTGGATTACTCAAATGCAATGTTCCCTTTCAAAAAATGGAAGAGCACTTTTGAAAGTTTTATATAATGTTATGGCTTTTATCATTATTGCTTTGTTCCATTGTTCCAGGCAGTCTGAACTGCTGCTGTTTCAGAGTGCAGAGCGTCCTGCACAGGCGGCAACAAAAGACGTGTCGAGATATCGCCTCCCTCGGATGCCAGACCATGTGGAGGATGCCCTCAGCAGAGTGAAAGGGCTTGCAGATGTGTCGGAAGATTTGAAGAGGCAGATTGTCAACCACATATACTATGACCTCTGCAGTTACACACTGTGAGTTGGCATTTTATTTTATGGAAGTTGCAGACTTCGCTATGTTTAGCTTGTTCCATGCCTGTTGGCCTGTGGAAGAGGTGTTCAATTTCTCAGTATATTACATTACATACTAAAATACGGTGGTGGGCTTGGACATCTGATATACAAAAGGTGGTATGACAAAGAGCGTAGAACTAATCGAAGCACAGAAAGGAGGAAAATGAATGGCATATTTTCACACTTCCATGCAGGTATCCTGGACCACTCTACGCTGTTGCTGCAGAGCAGCTTGTAGCCAAGTATCCCAAGCTAAGGGATGGTTCTTGTTTAAAATATGTGAGTTTGTGTTACTTTGGTGTAATCGAAAATTGGAATCATGGGCACTTGTACTGCTTTCTTCCAGGAGGTCTGGCGAGCACACCTGCGCGTGAAGGCAATGAATGGGAGGCGCGCAATGGAAAGCACCGTGCCAGGTGTTGGTGCAGCACGGGCGAAGCACCAGAAGGCGAGTGAAGCTAAGCAGAACAGCGCTGACGCCAGGCCCGCAGTGGCAGTGCAGCACATCGCCAGACATGTAAGGCACCAGAACGTCTAAGTCTGCACTTCATTCTTTTGTTCCTCCGGTGCTTAGTAGAATCGTATACTGTTCACTATGCTTTTCCTGCAGCTCTTGGGAAGCATCAGTTTGGTCACTCCTGTTCTAGATATCAAGCTTCAGATTTACTCTCTCAAGGTTTTTGCTCCTTCATGCTTAATAAATGAACCTGATGAGTGATTTTTTATTTATTTGTAACTTATCATCTTGCTATTCTTTTGAGACAAACAAGCACCCAATATTTCGTTTTGCCTGATTTCGGTAGGTGCTTTGATATGTTAAAGTAGTCGCACCCTTGTGGACCATCCTAGCATGCATAATTGAATTTCGTAATTGTTTTCACGTTTGTTAAAACCACTTTGCTGATATAGTGCAGATAGCAGAAGGCACTGAATGTACTGTTAAGTAGAATTTATTTTGAGTGTATCATATTAGTGCTGAATTAGGAAATGCTACTGATTAATGCTTGTAACACACCTTTCCAGCTCAGCGGTGTTACCTACTGGGGTGACGCCGAAGACGAAGATTCTGTTGCCGGCCATCTGGCCTTCATGGCCAAGGAGGTGCGGAAAGCAAACCCGGACTGGCAGAAAATTGCATTGTCGATGGAGAGGACATTCGACGAACGCAGGCACTGGATGCAGTCGGTACAGCCACTTGTGGCCGACATTTTGGCCAAGTATCCAGCACTTGAATATCCCCAAGCTGTAAGCTCTTATTACCATTTTTCGTTTTTAAGATATTTATGCCTGGCGTCACCTTTTTATGCTAATTTGGCAGGGCTAGCTTAGTGTCCAGAACACTGAGAAAAAGTCTGTAAAAATAGAGAGAGAGAGAGGAAAGACAAAAATACGTCTCCACATGCTCTTTGGGCGAGGCCCTCACCTTTTTTTAATTCAAGTGGGAGGGAATGCAGCGTTGTGGAAGCTACGCTAGCCTTGCCAACTTAGCACAGGAAGCTGACGATGACTATAATTTACATTTATTCAGTCATGCTGCTTTAGGCTAGGTAGAACATGAAAAGAAATTCCGATCAGGCATACTTGTTTCAATTGCACAAACTGCATTCTATTGTTGGTGACAGGCTGGCAGTGTTGGGGGCCATGACTATTGTTTTTTTGTTTGGTTCTTCCTGAATATCATATATTCTCCGACTCATGCCTCGTTGAAAGGCATGGAGGGCAAGTAAATGTGAAATAAATCAACACAAAAAGATGTACAGTGTTTCCTGGCGTATAAGATGCATCGTTTAATAAGACACCCCCCCACTTCTTGCAAGTTTCTTCTAAGTAAGAGTTGGCATATAAGACGCACCTGTGTATAAGACGCGTATCTAAGAACACTTATGAAGCGCCAAATTTGCGGAGAAAAAATAGCGCAACCATGCATTAAGAGATCCTGCATAATTGCAGGAGAAACATTTTATTACTCGAAGCACGTCACAAAGCAACGTGTTTTCTTTCTTTCTTTTCGTTTCCTTGACTTTCTTTTTTGTTTTTTGTTATGGAACTCTAGTTTTGGGAGCTTGACTTGCATTTACGATGCATCATTTGCATTGAGCTGTCATAATAGTTATAAAAAGACTAATCAGCATCAACAGGAGTTTTTTCAGTTTGCCAAAAGGAAAAATAAAATATACATATATGACACACTGTTCTATAAGAGACACCGCTGAAAGGTTTGGAAAAAAAGTGTCTTATACATAGGAAAATATGGTAATTGGTTTTGGATTATGCTGCAGAATGCTTCTATATTTTCAAAATTTTTGTACATGCCAAGCAACTTGTTCTTACTGCACAGTTTTTTTTCAGTGTTAAGATGCACTGAAAGTGTTAGCCAGAGCAGCACCTGTATATCAGAGACTTTCATGCTTCAGATAAGGGCTCAAGAATATGTTGTAGCCCCCATCACATGTTCTATCGTTTTATGTTCTTTTACAAGGAAGGTGTGATGTGGTCTGGTCCATGTGTACTATCACGGGTACTATGTTTTGAAACGGCAAGACGCATGGTGCACGGTGCTACTAGCACCACTTGTCGTATCACTCCACAAACACCGGTGCATGCTAGGCCGAGAGAAATTTCCTCCTGCACTCGTTGCGCCATTCAGCACTTCTGGGCCGTCTGCCAGCGAACACAATTGTCAACAGAACCACCGTCACGATCAATACGCTTCACGTGCATTTCATGGCAGCAGCGGATTGCAAAATCCGTTGTTACGCACCTGCTTTTCTTTTTTCAATGCCGATTCCTTTCTTACTTGCGTGATTGCTCTGCATGAAACAGCACAAACCGAACAGAAATTTTATTAAAAAGTTCTGCAGTGCCTTTTATCTCCATATGCGGTGCCTCAACTTATCGTGCAATAATCGGGTCGTGATTAAATGGCTCAGACGCAGGTGTCGGTTTGTATTTGTGGGCAATGACAAGTGTGACCTTGGAGCCTCCGTAGCCAGTGCAAGGTTGGCCGGTGCCGCACCCTCCATCTTGCTAGCAGACGGCTGGGAGCCTCCGTAGCCAGTGCAAGGTTGGCCGGTGCCGCACCCTCCATCTCGCTAGCAGACGGCTGGAAGAGCACAGTTGCGCAACGGTTGCAGGAGGAGATTTGCTTTGGCGTCGGAGTCTGTCGGTGTTTGCGAAGCAATGCGGCAGGTGGTGCTAATAGTTCCGTGTGCCGTGTGTACTTTCAGCTCGTAGTGTCCACGATAGTACTTTAAGTTGGAGAGGGAAAGCAACCCTTAGAGACTGCCATGGAAACATAAAAAGTCTCAGCATTGTATTGTTTCCTGAAATTTCGCAAATAATTATTGATAAAAAGTAGCAAGGGCTGGTTGGCAAACTCAAGCAGGACATGCTCTGTGGAGCATCAGAATAGCAGCTTGTGCTATCTGTGCTATTTTGCACCCGTAGATACTTTGGGGAGAGCTCACCCTGCAGAACTCGGGGATTCTTAGTTCGATGCTCACCCTGGTCCGTTTCATTTTGGATGAGCATTATACCAGCATGTGCTCAAGTGAAGACGTCTTCTTGGTGCATATCGGAGACCTTAGGTTAGCAGCAACACTGCACTGACCAAGTCGCTTATTTACAGTGGAAATATCATGTGCTCCTTGAGACGGATTAACCCCATTGTCTAAAAACTATATGACACATATTGTACAGGAAGGTCTAGATGTTGGGCCAAGACCAAAATAAATCACAGAAAATCGGATGTACAAGCTACGACCCTGTAATTTACCAGACCAGTTCGGCTACATGGTGGATTTAATTTATGAAAATATCAAAGACTTGTCCCAGTTGAAAGTTAAAAATAAAAACAATAAAACTTTTATGGGGTCTGTTCAGATAGAATCACACACATCCGGTTAACATTTTTGTTTTTGTTCATATTTTTGTATGTTAATCCTCAATGTGTGGGGAGTAACTAGCCAATTATGTGAAGTGTGAAGCGCTATAGTTTTGACGGTGGCAGAATAATGCTATGTGTTTTTTTTTATAGAAAAACACACCGATAGTGTGTGGACTGCTTTACCTTAATTTTTAAAAAAATCTAAGATATTAATTTAATTTTTTTATTGCGCATTAGAGTTACGGGACTTTTCACTTTTGAACATGTTTGAAGCGCTGTAACCATTGTTAATTGTAACTTATGTCAACAAGTTCTATTTAGGTGATAAGACCCTTTTAGGAAAAAGACATACAAAAGTTTTCAATATTATGTCTTCTTTAAGACACGACGGGATAAAAAATCTCAAATATGAGGCAAAAATGTCAAAGTAGCCAAGTTTGTGCACTTTTGACGCGTGATATGTATTTCAATATTCTATAAATATTTGTGAATATAGTCACTAAAGCTACTATTTATATAAAATATTTGAGTTTTCTATTATTTGTATGTTGTCTATACACCAACTCGAGTTCATAAACAAACAAACATGCCTCTATCGGCGCGTATGGCGCCGCACGTGCACGTTAAAGTGGCAGAAAGCGCGCCATCTCACATCAGCACTTGTCGACAACGCCCGTTTCAGTTCGAGTTTTTTCTTTTGAAACATGTGAAAACCTGTATTGGAACCTTTCCTTGATCTTGACGCACAGCCCCGAGCTACACTGCTCTGAAGCGTTTTGGTGTGCAGGCAAATAAACTGGATAACCTACCAAAATGCCATAGCGATGCACGGCACACTTGTTTTCTTCCACCCACAGCTTTTTACCTGAAGTGCTCCCGAAGCACCACCACTGTGGCGTGACGTAACAGACATGATTTGGTGTATTACTTGTCGTCAAACTTGACAAAAATGACAAAACTCCAAAACTGGATGCCACCTTCATGTAGTCTTAATATTGTTTTCTCACAAAATATTTTTTTCTTGCAAAAACGTTTTTGGTTTTGTCACACATAGAAAGAGTAACATAAAATTGTGAAGAAAAAGTGTTGACTGGGGACACGTATGTGTGATCTTATCTGAACAGCGAGCCCCCCTGGACCGACATGAGGTTAAGCCTTTTTCTCTCAAAGCTAGAAAACTTTTTTGTGGGCCACTAAGACGTTTGATAGAAAAAAAAAAGAAAAAAAAACGGGGAACAATAACAAGGTAAAAAGTTTTGTTTTTCCTTCCACTTTTTTTTAGATCAATGACCCACGACAACACCTTTTTGACTAGATTGAAATACACAGAAATTTTATTGTTTTCCTTTGTAATTTCTGAGTGGGTCAAGTATCGTGCTTGGTATTTGAATTAATTGCATCCACCGCCTACCCACACTTAGCTAGTAAATTACAGTGTCATAGCTCGCAAATTCAAATTTTTTTGCAGTTTATTTAGGTCTCGTCTTGACATTTAGACAACACTGTAGATACTCAGCTGAAGAGGAGCTTTCTGGTAGCCTCAGGGCAGCGGTTGACGTTTTGCTGAGTCTTATTTAAGCGAAATCTTGCATCTGCTCCAGAAGTTGACTGTTACAGGTCAAGAATAGCAGAGAGTTCTCTCCTTCTTGCTCCACGTTAGCAAAGTGAACACTGGAGAGGAGGAAACCACCAATCACGGCGAAGAGACGTGGTTTCCTCCTCTACATTGTTCTGCTATTTTTTACTTGTAACAGACTATAGCATTTTCATTGAGCCTCTGTGCATTGTTTTGCAGGATTTCTAAGTACCTGCAGTTAATGTGGGCTTTACCAATTAATTGTTCCTCTCTATCATTTTCTAATATTGGCACAGATTCGTCAGGAGTTCCACCTCCTAACGAAACACCATCTAGACACTGAGCTGGAGGCAGCCATAAAAAAATATGGCAAGAGGGTTGTGACCTTGGCAGAGAGGAAATGGCGACTCAAACCCTCAGTCGTTGAACTCCACAAGCGCCTGGATGTACTGCCGGAAGGGGAGAAGGATGGTAAGCTGTTCTCGAGTTTTTACCTTTTTTTCAGCTTGGCTGCAGTGCTTGAAGCATGTTTCAAGCACACATGCTGTTAAAACCTGACCTACAGAATATTTTTCAGCCAGGATGAAAATTCTTTGTACTACAGTTTGCCTCTCACCATCTCCCCGTGGGGCGGTTTGCTCACTTCGCGGTTGCAGCTACGGCCAAGAGGCATTTTTATGTCACGTGACCAGTTCCATGGGGACAAGAAGTACCTAGTGTCCCTGCCTAATGGCTGAGAAATCCATGTCGCTTTGAGTACAACAGTCTAATTTCGCTTGCAGAAACTGACCACAGAAGCTTTAAACTGAAGTCCAGTTAACCGCGCCATCATACTTTAAGAGCGGCAGGTAAAGTTACGCCAAGGAAGGTAAAAATGAGCCAAAATAAAGGAAAAATCGCAAGATAAAAGCGGTGCAGTATAGTTATATACCCACGCCATTCGTCGGCGAGACTCACTTTTTGCTGTAGTCGAGAGGTGGGAGCGCCGAGACTTGTCATCGTGGCGTGAAACTCCCAAGTTCAAATCGCACCAGAAGCTTTTCTTTTTATATATATATATATATTTTGTGCATATGTCTTATCTCTTAACTGTGATCCTTTTTACAAATCGTCCAAGTCATCCACTTGCACGGTGTTTACTATTTGTCCCACCTGTTCAATCATCACACTGGAAGAAAAAAAAACATCAAGCCAAGTTAACGTGCCAATACAATCGTTTCTTAATATTCATTAAAAGGAAACCAAGATTACAGCATTGGTATGACTTTAACACAAACGAGGCCGAAAAAAGCTTTCTTCCCCTAGCAACTACATGCACTTTTATGCGTTTTCAGATATACAATGCTCTTGCTACGACTCTTTTCAATAACAGGAGGCACCTAATTCATACTTATACACACTGTAGTTGTGTCAATTAAAAAGAGAAAAAAAGCTTCCACAAAATAAGCACCACAAAATAAAAATGTCCAGCAAAGTTTGAATTCGAAACTTTCACGCCGCGACAAGTACTGGCGCTCTTACCTCTCAACTAAAGCAGAAGGCTTAGGTCTCCAGCACTATCGCGGAGATATAAATATACTGCCACCACTTTTATCTCAGGTGATTTTTCCTTTATTTCGGCCAATATTTACCTTTCCTGGCCATTACTTTACCTGCCGCTCATAAAGTATAAAGGGGCGGTTAATTGGACCCCAGTTAAAAGCATCGGCAGTTAGTTTCTGCGAGCGAAATTAGACTTTAGTACTCGAAGAGGCACGGATTTCTCTGCCCTTAGGCATGGACGCTAGGTACTTTCTTGTCCCCATGGAGCTGGTCAGGCGACATAAAAATCCCTCTTGGGATTTTTATGTCTCCTGGCATAAAAAGAGCAAACCGCCCCCAGGGGGGCTGAGGGTGGAGTCCCCTTTTTAAAAACGCCTTTTTTGGTTCATTAGCTACCGTATTTACACGATTGTAGGTCAACTCGATTGTAAGTCGACCCCCCCACATTGCACATCAGCGAAAAAAAAAAAAAAAAATCTGTAGATGAGTATTTTACTGTAAACACGTGAGAATGGCAAAGTATCTGTTTCGAAAGCCAAGCCTCCAACACGCGATTGATGCCTTCTGGCGTGCTTTGGCTGCACATGCACGCGCGAGGTGCATGAGATGCCTAGGCGTTATCCAAACTGGGAAGTTCACGCTGGAGGCGGGACAACTGAAGCTGGTCAATGTCGTTCTCACTCCGTCCGCGACTACACTACGACTCGTCCGCACTGAGGATGTCAGTCCCGTCATCATCACTGCCACTTTCTCGAACACGTCGGCGGCGGCGTTCTACGAAATCTTGTACTTCGCAAATGGCAGGATCAACCGTATCTTCCGCGCTTGCTCGGTGATCGCATTGGACGTCAGGAGTAGGGTCCGATTGCACACTTTTGCGGCGTACGTTGCAAGCCTGACTTCCAACTCCGGGACCAGACTTTGGCCTACGGAAGTTCCTTTGTTTGCCGTAACAGTTTAAGAACCTGCGCCACTCCTGACTCCACTGGAGCATCACCGCTCCGACAGGTCGAACTTGCGTCGAACACCAAAGTTGTTGGTTGCTTCTGAGTGAAGAATGGCCATAAACGAGCACAGAAAACCTGAACTGCCCGGATCACGCATGTCAATACAAAAAAACATAGTTAGCGCTCCAGCATGATCTCGTCACTCGATCAAACGATGTGCTAGAGCTACCGTGAGTCGCACGAAAAACTGCGAAGAGAAGCTGCGGGGTGAGTGAGCCAAGTGAGCTGTGAGGCTGTTACAGCGGCCTCCAGAGTGGCTCTTACAAGAAGTGCCGCCACCCCCCGGGAGTCGGGCGCGCCGTGCGCTGTTTACCGCCGTATATTCGGGTTAATTTGCGAATTGCTATCAATAATACTCGTTTGTGCGAATAAAAAATAATTAATTTGTAAAATGAACACAAAGAATAGTGCAATGCTAGAGGTACAGCCGGCTGAACTCGTAACAAGTCGGGGTGGTCATGATATCGCGATTGTTTCATTTTTGCCAGTGGTGGAATGCTTTGGTTCGATAAGTCGATTTTCAGATTTCAGATTTTCAAAAATTGAAAAAAAGGGTCAACCTACATTAGTGTAAATACGGTAACTAAAATCTCAAGTTAATTAGTTGGCCACGGCAGCCACTAGAAAAAAGTTGAAATTAGGTAATTAAATTACCTAATTTGAACTTTTTTCTAGTGGCTGCCGTGTCCAATAGCACTGCCCCAGGGCTCGAATTACCCTATCTCACATTCCTCTTTTTTGGAAATTTGGTGCAGTTAATAAAGAAAAGCCCTGTATATGTCTGAGGGAGCAATAGGACTGGCATTTGTGAATAGGGCAACTGGGAAACATAAACCGAGAGCGTATCAACGGGTTGCAGAAGCAACGACATAGCAACCTAACATGTGTTTGTCGCTCTTAGTGTCGCTGATCACCTGCAGAGCAAGCTATTGGCCTCGACATCGACCTAAAGGTGGCACTACTGTCGCACTATCGTCATCATCAAAGCGGGGATAGAACCATGGCTGCCCTATAGGCTTACTACGTTTGCGTGCGGGGCGGTGTAGATTCTTGCGTTTATTTTGTCGCACAGTATTGGTGGGAAAACAATTTTAGCGGAAAATGGTGCAGTACTGTTCGCTGCTTCAGTGAAGATCGAGTTGTGTTACCAGCATATGGCCTAAATTTTAATAATCGCTTGTGTGCATGCGTCGTCTGCTCTAGGCAGAAGTTGGGAAGCATGGATCACCATGACAGATGCCTATCTCATGTGAACTGCACTGTTATATGCTTGTTTCTTTTTAAATAGATGTATCGGTTCATTAGCATGGGAATTCAACAAAACAATGAACTCCAACCCTGATAACATAATACTGGTATTCTAGGCTGTGAAATCGCAGGTTCTGTGTATTTTCTTGTAACTTTTAGCTTTTGCAGTAATATAAATATTTAGCATGAAGAAAAGTTAGTGCTGTGTTGGAAATTACCGTTCTAATGAGTTCTGTTGCAGCCAGCGAGAGTTCCTCTGCTAGTTACAATCTGCAAACTGTTCTTTGGCAAGACAACTGAAATAAGTGAAACAAACTATTCTAATATATCTGCTGCGAGTGGAACAAATGAGTGTAACCGAGCAACGCAGTAGCATGCGTGTTATTAGGTGCTTTTCTCGGTATTGTGGGTTCACCCACTTCAATTTTTTCAGAGAGCCGCGGATGTCAGGAGGCTAATATCATAAATTTCTGGCTAAATAATAATCTATTCAAACATGGTAGACTCTGCGATTCTAACAAACGACCTGCACCACGACACAAACAGCATCGGCTGCAGCGACATTATTTTATTGATGAGGGCTAGCGACTCTCACGAGACTTTCACGTCACCCTCTGCCCTCACCTAATGCATATTGGGGTTGTGCAGTTCATTGATTAATCTTCAGATTATTTCAGTGATGCCTTAATTGCAATATTTCTTTTTGTCTTTTAATCGAAATCTTGTGCTGGTGAAAGTCAGGAAAAGTAAAAGTTGTTTTAGGACAGAGTGCACGGTAAACCACTTCAGCGTGCCTGTAATTGTCATCGGGGAGGATTATACTGTTTAAATAATGACTTAAAAATTACTTCACTTTAAAAGGCTTTCCTTATTCACATTTCTGTAAGCGTCACATTGCAAAGTTTAAAATTGGAATGCCATATGCCATTTACGAGATAGTAAAAATAGTAAAAGAAGTGTAGTTTAAAGTCTTCTATGTAATGTGACTGGAGAATAATCAACGGGTTTATCGATTGATTATTCTATCAACGGTTGGCGATCAGTCAGGTTAATTTTTTATTTAACCCCCAGCTCCAATCAATATTTAACATTTTATGAAAGCTATGGATTATGCGAGTTAACAAGGATATGTAGGACCAAAGTTTCTACAAACCACAGCACTAAGATTATGGAAGCCTCCGGCCTAATATTTATCGCTTTGTTGAATTTCCACACATGTGAAACAATACAACACAATACAAGGTTTAGTAAGAAGAATCATCAACAAAAACATCAAACATCTAATAAAGAGGGTCCAGCTCAGCTGGAAACGGGCTTGCATTGTCCAGATTCATGCTTGTGAATGTGCGCCCGAAGCAGACGACGCGCGGCAGCATGTTTCCGATTTTGGCCGCACGGTGGCGACACGGTTTGATCTTGAGACGAATAGCAAAACTTGCATTTTCTCTGTCAATATCAACTCCTCTGCGAGCAGTACTAGCTAGGACCATGGCAATCCACAAGTGTTCCCAGTTGCAGTGATAGCGGAGGAAATTAACTTGACAAATCAAAATCACCAGTTGAAGATGTTTCAGGCGTAGCTTGGCAGAACCTGGACTGATATAATGGTGTAATTTATTTTATTGCAGGCTGCTTTGCCACAGGAGTTGTGTCGCTCCTTCCTCGACTTCTGAAGGAGGATGCAGGCAGTTACCTGCAAAAACTGGTAAGCATGATAACTTACATAACCTATAGTAATAGACAAGATGTTAAGGCATTGAGTTTGATTGACGTTAATGTGTCAAACAGTTTCTGCTGCCCATACCTGAGTCTCTTCATTGGATTCCTAGGTAAAGCTACCTAGGACCCCTAGGTTCCTAGGTAAAGCTACCTAGGAACTCCAGCCAAGGTGCCCTTAACTTCACAGGTTTATCGTGGACAAGGCGTACCTCAAATTTCAGTTGCATGCCTCAATCCTTAGCTGGGGCATGCCAAATGCCCTTTATTAGTTAGTACTCCCCCCTTTGCAACTCCCACACAAAAGAAGACATGCTGGATATAAAAAAAAAAAATGTACAACTGCCAGGTTTGGCATTTTTTTATTTATTTGGAAAGAAGTTATTTTCTTCACGGTGAATATGGGCGCACATTAAGTCTTATCGTTTTTTTTTTGGTGAACAAGTATCTTTATTCAATAAAGGACCATGGGGTCTTTGTCTTGCTTTTCTTTTTCCATGAATGATGAGCAATTACTATTGATTGGGCCCCACACATAATGTCAAGGACATACTGGGTGTTTCACTTTAATGGAAACAGTTCTATAAACAGAGAATGAATCCATCTACGGTGTGTGTTTCTTGTGCTGAGCAGACGTTAGAGGAGGTGATAACCGTACCAATCTGTTGGGTAATTCGCTAAAATTTGTTAAATAACTTTTCAGTTATGGGCTTTATGGCCCATGTTGCACTCCCAATTTTGAAGACAGAGGCCGTGCAAGGCTAAATTGATTTACGGAATCAAAAGAAAAGCCACTGTCTTTTAGATACAGATATTAGGCAAATTTGGCCTGTGTTACCAAAGTTTCCGAAACTGGGTGGAAATGAGGGGTGCAGATTTACAGTGCTTGTACCGTCTGCGTGTTTCTTCTCCTTCGTCCGTGTTTGTTTGCGCTGTTTTTACATTATGATCAACGAATACCAACTAGCCCAACTCTCGACATTAAAACAAAGACCAATCTTTGTCTAGGAATATCTCCAAGCCGATTGCATTTTTTCAATTCTGCAAATTGCTTTAGCCTTGCAATATGGTTCATAAGGCCAGTAACTGAAAGGTTAAGTAGTTTTAGCTAATTATTTAACATATTATGTCTACTCTAATGTCTGCCGAGCCCAAGAAGCACACATCAAAGACGACATTCATGTAGATGTTAGCCTCTTTTGTTTATAAAGCTGTTTCCATTAAAATCAAACACCTGATATAGAAATATGACTTGTTCATTTGTGAAATATGTGCACCATGAAAACTGAAGAAAGAAATGCATGTGCATGTAAGTACTGTATTTTCCAGACTATAGTCCACAGACTATACATGTTTCAAAGTTAAAATTTTACGCGGTGCGAACTATATGGAAATATGGACTATACAAGGATTTGTATTTTTCTTGATCTTTCACTGTGACAAGATAGGAAAGATTTTATGAGTAACTGAGTATATTAATAGTGATTTAACAAATGATACAAACTTCTATGTGAGCTAATACAGCAGGCATTTGTCAAGGTGTGCTGTGTATAATTTTTACGTGCAGACTATGCACCGGGTGCGAACTATGTATAGCGGGTGCAGACTATCTAAGCAAAAACTTTTATTTTTGACCCCAATATCGCCCCTGCGGACTATAGTCCAAAAATATGGTACAATGGTACAAACGAGTGATATTTCAACCCACCTAGCAACCTTGTGTTTCATTTCTCATCTGTATTGCAATTGCTTTCTGTAATATAATAAATACATATATAAATGACCAAGTTTTCTTCATTAAAGCACACCCATTTTTTTTTTCTCGTTATAAGTAGGTGATATACTTTCCGGTGATTAGAGAAAAGAAAATTCAGCAGGTCTCTATTTGTATCTATTTCTTTTGAAAACACCAGTGTATTTTGGTGATGGTATATCTCATGCAAACACGAAGGTGGAAATTATCAGGGACAATGACTAAGAGACACAAACAGTGGTGTCGGAAGTGTTCGGAAGCTTGACCCCGCCCCCTTCACAGAGTTTACTTTACCTGTCTGAAATTTCTGGAAGGGGAGGGGGGTGGGGGGGCTGGAGGCTGGAGGTCCCCTGTACCCCTTGTTTTGACATCAATGAAAACAAAACACCCAATACACTAAAGTATTTCAATTATTTACATCTCTTCATCTCATAGGAGCATCTATACTTAACTTCCTTTTTATAATAGAGGCATGATTACATTGAATGGCTGTCATGCCCATGTGCTCCTTCCTGTTCTCAATGCACAATTTTGAATGCACTCTCTTAGCATTTGTGTTACACACATCCCAACAATGTCTAGTGACACTTGGGATAGTGGTGGGCAGTCCGGTGCATGAAGATTTAAAAATAGTATGGTGTCAGCATTGGTATTGGCGCTAAGAAAGGAACCTGCATTGTAGATCTCTGAGCTTGTATTTGTCGCGCGCAAGAAGCCTGTAGATGCTTTTGCCTTAGGCGGCTGTTCTACTAGGCGAGTGTGTGGCCCCAGAGGACAGTATGCGATTTTAAAAGCCTTTTTCAAGACCCACGTGAATTTCTGAATAGACAAGGAGGGTGCATGGTTCTAGTCAAGATGTGTCTGACAAGGAGCTACATACAGGTTGAATAAAAGATTGACCAATCTTTTATTTTTGAGACTGGTGAATGTTTATTGGTATCTTTCAGCTGAACCTATAATGTATATGGCCTATTTATAACCATCTGTTCAGAAAATGCTCCCCCAGCATTCACACTTGGGACTGGTATGCTGACAAGGCAAAGTGTTGCTGCATCTAACTTTGACAAAACAATCAAATGTGAACTGCAAAGGCAACTTGGGCCACATTTTTAAACTCAGCTTTGCAGCAGATTTGTAAATGTGCTGGAAAGTGGATTTCATCAGTGCAACTCGCAGCAGGTTTGAAAATACTCTTGTACATCGAGAAGTTATTTTTCAAAATTCAGTTTTCTCGGAAAAAGGTTACTCGCATTTCTTAGGTAAAGTAAAATTAAAAAAAAAAAAAGAATTGCATAGTTTTGTATGCTTTCACTTTTTTAAAACACAAGTGCCGAACCCTCTGTACAGCTCAAAGTAGCTTCTTGGTTGACTTGCACTAACTTCTATGTTCTATTTTTTTTAGGACCCAAGCAAGGTGCACATGCACCCAACGGTGCTCTTCTCTGGCGACTCAGCCTTCAGTGCCGACAGCTTCTTGGTGACAGTGGAAGATCTGACCCTGGATGGACTTGATGTTTTAGGCTCAGTCTCATTAATGATTTCATTGTACTGGGCCTTTAATATCAAGTATGCTCCAGGGGCGCAAAAGACTTTCGCTGTCATCGAGAGGCTGGTTGGCTTGGCCTTCACACAGCTGACGGCCTTGGGCCACACCGTGGTCGCGCAAGTTATGCTTAAGGATTAAGCGCAAGTTACGCCTAAGGAACGAAATTGAAATAAACGAAGTTTGTTATCAAAGGTTCTTCGTATGCCTCTTTTTTTTGCAAATGGGTGAATGGAGTGTGCATGTACTCCCACGAGATGGTGAGGGTGCAGGGGGGGGAATATTGGTGCACCCTAGAATGGGGTGTACTGGTATTCTTTATAATTGGTCATGGTGTACGAAACAGAACAGTAGTACACCCGTGAATGGAGTGTGCATGTACTCCCATAAGATGGTAGGGGTGCAAGGAGGGGAATATATATGCGCCCTAAATTAAGGTGCATCAATATCCCCGGTAAGCGGTCATGGTGTAGAAAAGGGAACAACAGTACACCCGTAAATGGAGTGTGCATGTACTCCCATAAGATAGTGAGGGTGTAAGGAGGGGAATATATATGCACCCCAAATTAAGGTGCATCAATATCCCCGATAAGTGGTCGTGGTGTACGAAAGGGAACAATAGTACACCTGCAAATGGAGTGTGCATGTACTCCCATAAGATGGTGAGGGTGTCAAGAGGGGAATATATATGCACCCTAAATTAAGGTGCATCAATGTCCCCGATAAGTGGTCACGGTGTAAGAAAGGGAACAACAGTACACCCATGAATGGAGTGTGCATGTACTCCCACAAGATGGTGGGGGTGTAGGGAAGGGAATATTTGTGCACCCTAGAATGGGGTGTATATGTATTCCCAATAAGTGGAGATGGTGTAAGAAAGAGAACATTAGTACACCCATGAATGGGGTGTGTCTGAACACCTGGGGGTGTAGGAGAGGGAGCATATGTGCACCACTAAATGCGGTGCATGCATGCACCACTAGTCCGGGTGTCATCTGGGGTGCATTATATGGGACAATCCCGTTACACCCCCATGGGTGTAACCACTACACCCTTTTTTTTCAGAGTGCAGTTAAAGGTGTGAATCTTTTATCTTGTCTTTTTCCTAACCGTAATGGCTCATTCACACGAAATTTTGACGCTGGGCGTCAAAATTTGATCAGATTATTTTGATGCTCGAACCACAATCGCAGACTTTTGACGCTGGGTGTCAGAACTCTGTGGAATATCCTGTGGCAAGCGGATCGATCAAAGACCTTTTTGATCTTTTTTTTTCTTTTTTGCTGGAGAAAACTTTTTAATTAGAACAAAAGGCAGGAATTCTATTGCCATATGTCACACCAGGGAATGTCAGCTTATGTGCAGCAAGAAAATGAATTTCGGCGGCGCGAGGATGTCTCGTGCAAGGCTCTGTCACATGCCTCCTCAGCTTGCAATGGCCTTGCCGCTTGCCTTCCTTGTCTTGCTCGGCCTTTTCTGTCCTCAGCTACAGTTGGTTTGCGACAGCACACTGCCTTTTGGTACCAGGGTAGGTAGATGCAGCTTTTAAAAAAGGTCTATTGCATCCTTTGTGATATAGCAGACGTTCACAAATCATTTTAAATCTCGTTTAGCAGACGATACATCAATGTCTTTTTTGTTCTGTTTTCGTCGGTGATTGACACTTCATGGGAGGCGAAACCAACACAATTTAGACGAACTTGAGGTTTTAGCACCGATTTTCCATGTTACCTAAAAGGAGTCAGTGTGAAGCGCGGATTGAACACGAGTGTCATGTCAGCCTTGACTGCCCATTCGGTGAGAACACGAGTCGCACCTGATTGATGATGCTTCACTAATTATTAATCTTAAATCTGTGCTCTGCTCGGTCCCCCTTTTGGTCACAGAAAATCCAGTGCATTGACTTCCCAAACTCTTCTTTTTCTCGCACTGACAGGCAACATATTTGCAAACAGTCTTTTAGCTCCTTCACTCTCGCCAAGACGAAAATCAGACCCCGTGCTGTGGACAGCTTTCGTTCGGTGCTCGCATATTTCTTGGTTGTCACTGAGCAATGAGCATAGGTAACCTACTCAAAGTAATGCATGGTGTTTGTTAAAAGTTGACCTCCTAACTTCCTCCGCCGACGCACACTGGCACGGCAGGGTTGTACCAAGGAAACTGATTTCCCAGATACATCATATGGGAACGGCAGGGAGTAGTAAGCCTCAACATTATAACTTACAGTGCGACTAGGACAAAGACAGACAGAGGAGAAAACACAGGACAAGTGCTGAACTGGCAACTGATTCTATTGAAAACAAAATACATATGATGCTGCTGCTGCTCAGGCAGGCATGCCCCTTCGTGGCCCTGGCGCTTCTTCTTTTACTCAACACGATACCAGCCGAGTTATCCGAGATCCGAAAAGCCGATCTCGCTCTTCATCAAAGTCACTGTGGGCTGGCTCACACACAGAGATCCGTTTTGTGTTATGTAGTATGTCTCCATCATTTCTCGGGGTAGTTTTTGGTTGTGTTGGAACATCACTGTCGTGTTGTTAAAAAAGGGTTGGCATCCGCAATCCCGGCAATGCATCGCGAGATGTGTGTGAGCGGTTCCTTTTGTAGAACTGTGGTGTTCTTGTAGTCTTATCTTGAGGCAACGCCCAGTTTGTCCTATGTAGGCACGCCCGCAGGAAAACGGGGTCTTATAGACCACACCTTTTATGCAGGCGACAAACTGCATTCCGTGTTTGATGCTGCTGCGGCTGAGATGTCGGATCGTCATTTCTCGCACGTTTGTTGACTGTGGAGCACACAGAGCCGAGATTGTGACAGGCGGAAAAATCAACATTCACATTGTATCTCGAGGCAGCTTTCTTGAGTCCGTGGGAAAGGCGGTGGATGTATGGTATGACTGAAGTTTTCCTTTTCTCTTTCTGCTCGAGGTCACATTGCTCGATCTCTGGATCTGTTTTAAGGTATTTCACGATTTTTTCGCAAGTTGAAGTAATGACCGAATTAAGATACCCCAACTCCTTGAGCCGTTGAATTTTGGAAATGAAGTGGGAACTCAATTTGTGGATGCATGTGCTTGTTAAAGCTGTCCTCAGACAGGGAAATGCGATGCCTTGTTTGACGAGTTTAGAGTGGGCTGACTGAAAGTTTAGAAGAGCCTTTGCTGTTCTGGGACTGTAACACCAGCAAACATGATCATCCCCCTCTTTGATGCGGAGGTCCAGGAACTCAATAAGGTTCTTTTTTGGGGCTTCATAGGTGAATCGAAGTCCTTGCCTTTTTTTCGTGAAGATCTTCAGCACATCGTCAAGCTTCTGATGGAAATTAGCCCTCTCAACGAAGACCAAATAATCGTCTACGTACCTAAACACTTTTTTGGTGTTTTTCTCCAAGCAAGGTTCCAGATCCTGATGGATCTTGCCTAGGAAGATGTTACTGAGCACAGAGGCTACCCTCGACCCTATGCATACTCCGGACTTCTGTAGGTACACCTTGTCCTGCCATCCGATGAATGTGGACTTCAGCCCACTCCAAACTCGTCACACAAGGCATCGCATTTTCCTGTCTGAGGACAGATTTAACAAGCACATGCATCCACAAATTGATCTCCAGCTTCATGTCCCAAATTCAACGGTTCAAGGATTCGGGGTATCCTAATTCGGTCATTACTTCAGCTTGCGAAAAAATCGTGAAATACCTTAAAACAGATCCAGAGATCGAGCAATGTGACCTCGAGCAGAAAGAGAAAAGGAAAACTTCAGTCATACCGTACATCCACCGTCTTTCCCACGGACTCAAGAAAGCTGCCACGAGATACACTCTAAAAAAAAAAGGTGTCAAGGGAGAGTAAGTGCCCTAACTTACTCTCCTTTAACTCTATCTGCATGGAAGTTACTCTTTCCCGACCGCTTCTTTCGATGATACTCTCCCTTAACCCTCCCTCGACCTCGAGAGTAACTGTAACGAGAGTTAGTTTCTCCTCGCGATATCACGGGCTGTCGATAGATGGCGCCGCTATGGGTTCGGCGCAAGTTCGACGCTGTTCGGCGCAGGTATTTTTTTCGTTTTCTCGGGGAAACCTTTTTTTCCTATCCGCTTTTCTTTTTTTCTTTTTTTTTTCTTCTTTTTTCTTTTTTTTTTTTGGGGGGGGGGGGGAGATGGGCAAGGATGTTTTAATAAATGAGTTGGTACAGCCTGCCTTGACGGGTTTATATTTCAGTATTTATTAACTTAATTATTACCTGCGGCAGGAAGATCATTTGAGCGGGGGACACTCCTTTATCCAAGCAATAGGCAATTAATGTTTTTGCTACACAGATATATTAAACAATAAGCATATAGATCAGTGTGTAAACGGGTGTATGAGCGGATGCTGACGCGCGTGTGCGATTATGTTTCGTTACAAAAGTGCCTAGGGTTGTTATGTAGCCCAGGGATGTTTTTGGGGCATTGTTATATTTTTGGGGGGTCGTTTCAAGTTACTGCTGAGCCCGACCTCACTGATCGTAGGAACAGGTATATGTATAAATCAAGTATTTTTTCCACATTCGCATTAAAAGCAAGCAAAGAGGAAAACCTCCCTCCGTGAGAGAAGAGGTCGGCTTCGCGCGGTCTATTGCATACGCCACGTGACGACCATTTCATAAAGCGTCGCCCTAAACACGGCGTTCGTTTCGAAGCCATGTATAGGTTCAAAAAACCTATACATGGCGGCAAGCCAGGTTTATGGTACGTGACACTAGGGGCTCCCTTATTTTCACCGCCGTGGAGAAAATAAACGACGGAGCCAGAGCGTTTGGAAAAGTTGTTAGCGATGATTTCCAAACTTGTTATGCGGTCTTTGTTTTGAGTCATTAAATAAACTTGGCTTGACTACTACCTTTTTTTTTTCAATATTTACATTTTACTTTTCGAAGCGAGGGAGTCGATTAGTCTTCTGCTCTGTTCAAGAAAAGCTCTGGGGGGTTAAACCTTTAACTCTGCACAGTTTGCTACATCCTTTAACTGTTTTAACCTCGCTCTCCGAAGCTCCCTTGACAGGAAGGTTTTCGATATAAGAGAACATTCAAGATCGCTGCTCTTTTCCGCTGTTCATCAAACAGTTCCTAATGTACAGCGGAAGCACCGTGTAGCATTCCGGATATCGATATTTGTGGTA